GAAAGATCTAATTTGAATAGGATGCACATCTGTTGTATGTGGTGGGTTTGATTATTGGATCACATGTTCCAAGATCGTATCAGGTCCAGAAGCTACAGTAGTCAGAAATTGTCCTAAAAACTTGAGGCTAGACACAGGAAGCCTGCGTGGAACGGTGCTAAGCTGTAGATAAGCATCAGTTATGAGGAGGGTTGCCAAGAACAGAAAAGGCATGGGATTGTCTGTCAGAGATGACTTGGTCTTTTTCATGTTGTTATTTGCCTAAAATGTAATTAACCTAGAATTTTGAGAAACATGTGCTTGTTTTGTTGTCATTATTTGCCTGTCTTGCCCGCAGCAGAGAGAGAACCTTGGTCGGTTCCCTTGAAACTTGAGAATGTGAGTGTAGTAGGTCAGGGACTATCTTTTTCTGCATATACATGTATGGCCTCTGTTGGATGGGGCCCCAGCCAGACTGATGTTCTTAAGATCCAATGTAATACTTCTAACGGTGAAACAAAACATTAAAAAAAGATGCTATTTGTACTACAAGTTCACCCAGTACTTTCCCCCTTCTCTAGGTCTTAAACACGTACTTATTTTTGTAGCTTCAAGCAACAAGGTTTCTGTGTCATTTCCTTTGAGCACTGGTTTGCAAAACTTTTATCTTCCCTCTATGTAGTTTTTTTAAGCAGTACAGTTATTTGCAAAAATTAAAGAAAAGTTGTCTTTACAGAGCAAAACCGTATGTTTCAGCAGAGGAATGACAGTGAGACTAGCCAGGGAAATTTCATCACAAAGCACCTTTCAACCTGAATTTTTATAGTGTTCAAATATGAAATTATTCACCTATTCCCCCAAAAGGGGATGTCAGGTTGATCTATACAGCAAGCAGCTCCCATTTTGCTTTGTAGAGCATGTGTTCCTTCAGTTGGTTTAGTGATAGATAGTGTAAATACTCTTCTGCTTTGCATCAAATGTATCAGACAAATCATCATAGTCAATTTAGAAGAGAAATAACTCAGGAGAAATGAAAGTTCTCATTAAGTTCTTAAATGCTTTCATGGGATGAAATAATGGGAGACCGTATCAGGCCAGAGGGGAAAAACAATTTTGATCTCTTAAGAGTGATTTTTTTCTTACTCAGGAAGTTGTTGGTTAGTTTCACGGTGCATTTGCTTACAGGCTTTGCACAAATGTTGAAGAGCAAAACACTTGACTTACATTGAATTCTAATGAAGGAGCCAAACTGCTTTAAATTTACATGAGAATCTCAAGCAGCCTACAAAATATTCCTGTTCCTTCTGTGCATTCTCTTAAGCTTGGCATGCAGGGCAGTCCCACTACCTGAAGGTAGAACAGGTACTAATAAGCCCATCCGTTCAACACTAACAAAATGTGTGGGTATCCTTGCAGCTCCACCATTCAATACCCTGTGCCAAATCTACGTGTTTTCCCTTGGCAGGAAGACCAAGATTTGTCAATAAAATGCTCCAGTGCATCAATATTCAGCAAGGCACAATGTAGAATAAAGTAAAGGTATCAACTAAAGCCTGATTACAATCTCTTGCAATGATCTGAGAACTGATAGTTCATAGAGAATACTTGTAACTATAACTTGAAGCATTGAGGTTCTTAAATGACTGTACTTCTTTGTAGTACAGCAAAGAGAAGCCAAGTCCTGGACCTGATTTCCACAAAGCAGAATATCTTGACACTCTGTGTTACGAATTACAAAATAATTATAGTGGAATCCCTTGCTCAGCATTTTATCAGCAGTGGAGTCTTGCTGCTGAGAGACTGAAATAGCTGGATATATCCATTTATCAATAATAATGTTTTCCCTTTTTTCCAGCCTGGATTCCATCTTAAGGACATTTGTTTTAATAGTTAAAAGAATATTAGACTCATAAATGTAAATGCTGAGGTGCAATGGGTGACTCTTCAAGATTTATCAAAGCAGGATAATTAACATAAACAATAAGACTGACTTTCTTGGTAATAACTTTTGTCACAGAATTACTCTGTTTTATGCAGCAGTAATCCGCCTTGAAGCACAGGCTAGGAAGTGCAAGAGGAGGATTCACTTGGCCTCCTGTCTGTGCCTCTCTGTGCTGCAGATTTTGTTGAGGGCAGTACCAGTGAAATTGTGACAGTAGCTGATGATTGTGTTAACACCAGCACTTAATTTTAAAAGCAAGCAATCAAAAAGTGTTGGGGGGTGTGGTGTGAGAGAGAAGTCTATTTAACTTTTTAAACAAGCAGTAGCTGCTGAAATATTTTGCTGTTAGACACTCGAGGAAGGACTTGTAGTGGAAATGAGAAATATCACATTCAGCTTCTGAAAAGCTAATGTCTGCTGCATTACTCTGTGAGACTCGCTCTTTCAGAGATTCAGCCAAAATTTTTCAAGGTGTGCCGGTTAACATGCTTTTACCTGAAACCCAAGAATTATCCTAGAAATTTGTCCTTTATTCTTTTATCTACTTCCAGCATTTAGATGCCACTCAGTCTGTCACAGATGTTGCCATTTTCTACTGGTCAATTCCTTTGTGCCTTATTATCCATCATTTACTCCACTGCCAGTTTCTGCATAAGTTTACAGGCATCACCCAGTGCACATTGTATTAACATCCTCAGTACTGATGCCTGAACTCATCCCAGGTTTACAGATACTATGTTGTACTCAGGACTCTGTGCTGTGTCTTTTACGAATCTCTTTAATGACTTTTTCTGTGCTTATGGTCTCTCTAGATTTCTTTCCTTTTTGAATTGCCTACTGTGAGCAAGAACCTTCTCAGCTGTACTCAGAAATGCTATGTATTTATTCCATCATAGACATACTATTTATGATTTTTCAAAGATGGCCTAGAAACGGTTTTGGTTCTGCAGCAGCTTTGCTGTTTTGGAGAGCCTCAATATGCTTCTATCTCGCATATACTTTTCCTGCTAGAACAAATCCGTGTTCTGTTTGACAAAATACAGCCATGTGGTTAAGAGTTATTAAAAGCATTAAAGCATTAACCTCTTGTAACCTCATTTTTCACTTTGTACACATACATAAGTGTTTAATCGAATTGAAGTTAAACACTAAAAAGTTTGAGAGGCCAAATTTATACATTCTCTTCAGTTTATACAGAATTGATGTGATAAGCCAAAGGAATTATAAGACACCACTACTCAGAAAATGCTCATCCGTTGATTTGTTTAAGCTCTGTTGCTACATACTAGAAGTTGTGGTGACAAGCATTCCCAGCATTTAAATCAAGGAGCTTTGTCCTACTGGGATCCAATCTGAGTCCTGGCGCCACACAAGCTTATTCCACTGTCCTTTGGAAGTTGAACAAATGATTCTGTGTCAAAAGATCTGCTGGAGAGGGGGTGATCCACATCCTTGAGTGAGACCAACTAGGCAATGTGTGGTGGTAGTATTGTGAACTCCCATCTTCTTCTCATTCTGCAATTCAATACCAGGCAGCCAGAATCCCACAGAGGGACTGCACCGATCCTGAAATGGAAGTCTGATATAGCGCTGCTGTCCCTCGTCTCCCTTGCTTGTCTTTGCTTGGCATGAAAGGCCAGGATGTCAGCTCTGAAGCCAGGGAAAAGGGAGTATTAAATCACAAGTATAATCGCAAGGAACAGGCCAGAGATTGAGACATACAATCCAGGTGCAGCTTCTGCTGAGGTGTAATGATCCTTCATGCTGCACAAACAGGCTTTTCCCTTAGCTGACTTCCTAGTGGATGTGAATTGGAATTTCCAGTGCTGCGTTTCTAAATGTCTCATGGAGTGCCTCCCTGCTGTAATGCTGAACTAAGTGGAACCTTGAAGAGATTGAACGTTTGATTTCTCAGAACTTCCTTATGTTGCATAAGGTGAAAAACGAGAAGGTACTGAACTGGCACACGTATATCATTCCATGTGGCTGTATCAGGCCTACTCCTGTGTGGCTGTACAAAGGCTCTGCAAAAATTGATGGGCTGGCAGAGGTTTTAAAGGCAGTCACAGAGCTGGGGGTAAAGTCAGAGTGAAGCAGCAGTCGGTGCTGGGCTGCACGGGTAGGGTCATTTGAGGATATAATAGTGGGGACTGGCAGTGGAACAGGGGAAATGAGCGTTGGCTGCAGCTTAGGGATGTCACATCTGTCTTAGGACAGGGCAGTCTTGCCATCTTTTTCCATAACCAGAAGGGTAAACACAGTAATATTTGTCAGTTTTCCAAACGTTCATGAATCGCCCATTATGAAAGAGGAATTCTGATAACAAGTTGTCTTAACTTTTTAGTGTTCTCTAATAAGAAGAAAAATAAGGAAGGACCAGAAGGTAAAGCATGTTGTAAAGCATGGCCTAGACCTTTAGTTCCACACAAGCTACTATAAAGCAGCATTACCTTTCCCAAATTTGCAAAATATATCTCATACTTTACTAGTTGATCTGATTCTGATGAAATACTCCAAATGCAGCTGCTTACACTATTCTCTGGATTGTATGAATGTTTTTAAATTGTTGCTTATAGAAAATTATCTTATTCAGCACTTCTGCCCTGGGCTTGATTACCTCTGGGCTCATAAATAAAGTTTTATCAGATAAAGCATCCTTGATTTTTCTTATGCGTCTGTCTGAATGGGGATTTCAACTTGAAAGATGACTCAAGTCAAGGGGAGTCCTGTTAAAACATTACTGTTGAAAACATTGTTAATAAAGTTGGTAATATTAAACAAAAAAGCTTTGTGGCACAAAGTTAAGCAAAGCATCAAGGACATCCCAGATCACAAACAGTAGCTTTAGTTCGCAAATAAATATCAAAGCAGCAAGTCAGCATTACAAAGCTTGTTATTTTAACTTGAGTAGAGGATGTTTACTGTTAAAAGGGACAAACAAGAATATTAGATAAGATGACAGCTCAACAGACCTCAGCACAGAATTTATCACACACTGTTTAAGGGAGTATTTAAAAAGATAACCAGAACCCCTCGGGTCAAGGATGTACGCCCTTCCGCAAACAGACTGCGCGGTGCAATGCAGCATTTGTCTGAACCGGTGGATTTCCACCTGGGTTTGCTGTCACAGAGCTGTGACACGGGCACTGTCACCTCGGCGAAGGCGGATCCGTATGTCCATGCTCCCACGGGGCGAACGCCGCCGCCGCCGCGGGCTTCTGTGCGCGCGGGCGGTCACGGGCACGTGCGGGCGGCTCTGCAACGCCACTTCCCCCGGGAGGTTGGTGTGTCCCCCCGAAAGCCACCCGACGCCACAAAAAAGCTCAATGGCCTTCAATGTCCCTTGAGAAACAGCCGGTGAGG